GGACAGTAACAATGAGATGTAAAGAGTTCACACATGACTTATGCAACTCAAATTTGCCTCATTAAAATTGCTCAACCGTATTGTTCAATCAAGAGCACTATTCAAGTCATCAGTACTGATCACAACCGATACTCAAATATGTAAGAGAACAACCACATTAACAAATATCAAGAGGTGGAATTTTAAATTTGGATAAAAAACCGATCAACATTCACATTAAAAATAAAAAAGCCATACACACAAAGTAAGCATAACAAGCTATCCAAAACCAAATCAGTCACAAAAACAATCCAAAAGAGGCAGGTATGAAGATACCTCACTCCGCCAAACAAAACTAACAATTTTCCACAATGTAAAGGAAATAAAAACTCTAGAAATAAAATTGACAGAGAGTCAAGATCCCCCTGTCAAGCTAAGCCTGAGGTGAACTTATCACGACCCAGCACCCCCTAGACGTAACATGCCGTACTTTACCCCGAAGGGGGTCTCATACAAACCCTTAGCATAATCATAACATAAGATACTAGAAAAGTATGGGAAAATTAAAAACTTCCCTTAGAACCAATCAATGAAAAACATTTTCATAAGCGAACGGAAGTCTTTACTAACTATTTGTCTCAAACCATCTATTTAAACTCATGAATAAAAGTCTTGGGATGCAGCCCATATAAAGTCTAAAACATAAGAAATGACTTAAAAGGGAAACATGGGTTTGTCTTTGAAGCTATGAGGACTCACCAAATCTTCAAGTCTTCTTGCATCTTAGAAACCTAGCCTCCAAAGCAACTCAATCTCCATCACCCTACATTTGACTAGAATGTAGGCAATATGCATTAGTACAAAATGTACCAAGTATGAAAGCTAGCACAACATCATAAGAGCATCTCAACATGGTTAGTCAACATAAGACATAATCATAGGAGATAATAACAAGTTCATAACATAATCATCATAGTCATAGCATGGTCTCCACCATGAGCATCATACAAATATAAGTCAACATAAGACATGGTTAATGGGAATATGAGATAAGTCATAATCTGTAACAACCAAAAAATTCGTAGGTTGAACTAGAGCCTAAACGTGATGTCAATGAGGTATAAAATGAATTCCCCTAAGTTAGTAGACCATCTAGGTGTCCTATGATGGTCTATCAGTTAAGTCCTAAAGAAGGAGTGCCAAGCAAAAGAGGCAAGCCAAGGCCAAATGCCAAGGCCAAAAGGCAAGGCTGCCCCAAACTTTGAGCTACTGCCTCAAGCTTCACGGCCATCACCACGGCACGTGGTCATGACCACGGGCAAGTGGGAGGCTTCCTGGAGTTTCCTTGGTGAAGGGAGAGGGACCTCAAGTGTCCTAGACACTGCCTCACCCTTCACGAGAGGGACCACGAGTCGTGGTCCACTTCATTACTCGTGAAGGTGGGCGTGGAGTTCCCTTGGATTTTAGGGAGTTGGGGGGGGGGGCTTGTTATGGTAGCTACTGCCCAAGGCACCACGGGCACCACTACGGACCGTGGTGCACTTGACGAGGGAGAGGGGTGGCTCGTGAAATTCACTTGTCACCAAGGCTTGAAGGCCTTGCCTCCACAAAGCCAAGTCATGATCAAGGCCATCACCACGGATCTTTGGAGGCTCCGTAGTTTTTCATTGCCCAAGTGCTGGTTTGTGCACGAAAGGGGAGCTACTTCCTCCAATACCACAGCCCGTGGTGCACCTTCACGACCCAAGAATGGTGGTCGTGGTCCTTGACGGGGACCATTTAAATGAGGAGTTTTGGGACTTTCCTTTTAAGTCCAAAATAAGTAGGGGCATTTTGGGTATTTTAGAGGTTATTTATATATTGGTTTTTAAGTCTTAATTAATGAATTTTTGGTCACACTACACAAACATCCAATTGAAATCAAAACTCTCCCACTTCTCTCTAAACTCTCTCTCTAAAATCTTTAGAAGAAGAAGAATGCTTTGGATCTAGGGTTTCAAGGTTCATTCCCAAATTTCTTGGAGTTTCTCCATTGATTCTCAAGGAATAACTAAGGTATGGTTGCTCTTCACTCTTGGGATCTTTTCCACAAGAGGCCCTCTCAAAATTGGATTTCAAAGTTCCCCAAATTCTAGGTTTTCTCTCAATTTCATGGGTCACTTTACAAATGTGTTTTCATTGAATTATAATGATTAATTATGGTTGTATTTGATGATTTGTGGATGAATTAATGTCATGTTGATGGTTTTTGAACAAATCCCCACAAGACCCATGATTTTCCCTTCTTTCTCACTTTAAACCCTAGTATGCTTTTAATGGTGAATGAAGGATAAGAATCTAATATATAATTGTAGAATTCATTAATGTATTATGATGTTTCTCTATATCATGAATGATTACCAATGAATTAGGGTTGAATCTTGATGTGATCCTAGAACGCTATGAATGAAGGATGTCAAATTGATGAATGTTCATATATTGAATTGTTGATCCACTTATGGTGGAGGTGCTACTTGACTATGAATTGTAGTGATTGAGTTATGTTTCCTCTTCCCTACAAACCCAAGTGTTGACAAGTAGGCTATGATACAAACATGAATGTTAAGCTATGATTATGGTAGTGTTGGTATTATGAATAGAAGGTTAATCTCATGAACACTATATGACTATGTTATGAATGAACATTATTATATGTTGATGGTTCTAAGATGAAAGGTTATTCTCATCTTAGAACTTGTGAGCTATATGATGAATGATGGGTAGAATCCCTAATGCACTCCCTATTGAATTAATGTGTAAGTAAAGGCCTAATACTACTTTAAAAGGGAATTGTGCTTAGCACCGAGTGAACATGAATATGAGATGGAAGCTTTTACATTTAGTAAGTTCGGCTTCCCATATGGGTTCCTTTTACATTTAGCAAGTCCGGGTTCCCAAGATATATGTTGTCTCATGAGATGGAAACCTTTTACGTTTAGCAAGTCCGGGTTTCTAGTAGCTATCTCCTTGTTCTATAACTATATTTTCCCACATAGGTATTAGATAGTGGATCCACCTAGATGCTATTATGTTAGTTCTACCTTGGCAAGTAGAACACTCTATTTTCAGTGTGGGAGTAGAACACCGGATTCCATGAAGCTCACATGGTCTATGTTGGTTATTGCTAATATCCCTATGTTTTAAGAAGATGATCTAATGTATGAATATGACTTATGTAAATGACTTATGAACTCTAACTAGGACTACTTGAGGGATACTACTTATTATAAGTGAGGGTATGGGACTTTACTTATGCATTGCACAAGTGAGTTCTTTGAGGAGTTCTTGTGTGAGTCCTCTATGGATGGCAACTCATGAATGATGGTAAGGTTGGTTTCACCTACTATGATGTTGATTTTGTATGTGATTACACTTGTGTCTTCTTGATGGCTTTGCTTAGTATATATGGGGGTATGGGACTTCATATGTACATTGCACAAGTTAACTTGAAAGTAGGGTCATGGGTGGTGTCTTATGATGGTATGATATAAATGGAATTCAAACATGTAAGGTATGGGTTATGGCTTCTTGTTATGATCATGAATGTCTCTTTATCTTATAATGTGGATTGGGTAAATGTTCCTTGAATATGCATTATGGCTTTTAACGTGAAATAGAATGTTTTCATATAAATGTCCCTTTTATGCATGTTTTAAGTGGTTTTAATGGCATGGCTCCCATACTTAGTACAATTGATTGTGCTAACCCATATTTCCTCCTTTTTCTACCAAGTGTAGGTTCCGGGAAGTGATTGTGATACTAAGAGACTCAAGCTTGGACTTAGACTTTCTCCAAGACTTTTTTGGTATGTCCTCAAGTTCCGAGGACACACATTTTTGACACTTATGTCCCTTATATTGTAATAGACTATTAGACTCCTTATGTACTTGTCATTTTGAGACAATTCTATTGTAAAGGGCTATGGTCCCTTTTTGAGATTCTTATGTGTACTTAGATGGTTTCATTTAGATGATGATATCTAGACATTCTACATTGTACATTCTACTTTCTATTTTCTATTATGAGACACTTGGACATTGATGTTTGAAAAGTTTTTAAATTTCCGCATTATTCAATGTCTATATGTAATGACGAATATGCTAAGGGCTTGTATAAGACCCCGAAGGGGGCAAGTACGCCGTGTTACACCTAGGGGATGCTCTCGGGGTATGACAAACTTGGCATCAGAGCATAAGGTTAATTGGATAATATTAGGGTTTATGTCTCATGAAACCACGTCGAGTAGAGTCTTGTTCATATGTGTGAAGCGCGCCACACTTATGAATGAGAGGCTATAAGATGCTTAGGAATTTTCACTTCTTGGTTACTTATTGGTTGTGCCTCAAGAATCTTAGTTCTATTAAGTCTTTCCTTTTAATCATTTTCTTGTGCTTATAGGCTATGAATACAAGAAGATAATGCTAGGAGGGCCGGAGAGGAAAATGTGAATGAGGAGGTTCCCCCTCCTGTTCGTCAAAACCCTCAAGCTCCTCAAAATCCTCAAGCTCCTATTGATGATGGGGCTATGTCTAATGTGGAGATAAGGGCGACTCTTCATACCTTGACTCACCTCATGATGACACAAGCTAACCGGGATGCTAGACCCCGGGTGGAGACCAATGTGAGTACCATGGCCTCACGGTTGAGAGACTTTTCTAGGATGAACCCTCCTATCTTCTTGGGTTCCAAAGTGAATGAAGACCAACAAGATTTCTTGGAGGAGATTTATAAGATTGTGGAGGCTATGGGAGTTTCTTCTAATGAGAAGGCCGAGTTGGCCGGGTACCAATTGAAAGATCAGGCCCAAGTATAGTACACTCAATGGTATCCTTGATCGGTTCTTCCCCCGTGAGAAAAGAGAAGCCAAAGTTGAGGAATTCATCAATCTCCACCAAGGAGGTATGAGTGTCCAAGAATACTCCTTGAAATTCATGAAGTTGTCCAAATATGCTCCCTCTTTTGTTTCTAACCCAACAGATGAAATGAGTAGCTTTGTCACCGGTGTGTCCGATGCTATTGAAGAAGAGTGCCGAGCAGTAATGCTCCACGGCAACATGGATATCTCTAGGTTGATGGTACATGCTCAACAAGTGGAAGAGTCAAGGCTTAGAAAGAGGAATCGAGAGGTGAAGAGGCCAAGGGCCGATGAGGGAAATGTATCTAAGGATAAGTTTGAAGGTCAAGGTGAACCAAGTTTTAAGAAGAGGTTTCCCAACCAAAGTCCTTTCAATTCTCCAAGGCCCAACAAAGGTAGGGTGTCTACCCCTAGACCACAAGGGGAAAGGTTGTGGTCCTTATGTTGAGAAAACTAGTTGTGAAAAATATGATAAGAAGCATTAAGGAAAATGCCTAGTTGGCACGGACAATTGCTTTAGTTGTGAGAAGAGTGGTCATATGAGGAGAGATTTCCCCATGTTTAAGGTTCAAGGGAGGGAGAATAAGCAAACTCAGGCAAGTGGGTCTAACTCCGATGCTCCTAAGAAGAATCACTTCTATGCTCTCCAATCTCGAGGTGATCAAGAGAGATCTCCGGATGTTGCAAGTATTTTCAATTAATGTTTATGCATTGTTAGACCCGGGTGCCACTTTATCTTTTTTTACTCCTTTTGTGGCTATGAAATTTGATCTGCTCCCCGAAACCTTAAATGAACCTTTTTCCGTGTCTACCCGGGTAGGTAATTCGGTTACAGCAAAAAGAGTGTATAGGGGTTGTCCCATTTCATTGTCCAATAGAGTCACATTGGTTGATTTAGTAGAACTTGATATGTTGGACTTTGACGTCATATTGGTATGGATTGGCTTTATGCTTTTTTTGCTTCCATCGATTGTAGAACCCGAGTTGTGAAGTTTCTTTTCCCTAATGAACCCATTGTAGAATGGAAGGGAGGGAACTTGATCCCTAGAGGTCGAATTATTTCATGTCTAAAAGCTTGTATAATGATTTCTAAGGGATGTATCTATCATATTGTGAGAGTTAAGGACCTTGTGTCTGAGACCCCTCCATTAGAGTCGGTCCCCATAGTAAGGGAGTTTCCGGAAGTCTTTCCAAATGACTTGCCCAGAATCCCTCCCGAACGGTAAATTGACTTCGGCATAGATCTCTTGCCGGATACACAACTGATATCTATCCCTCCTTACCAGATGGCCTTGGCCAAATTGAAGGAATTAAAGGCTCAACTTATAGATTTGCTAGATAAGGGTTTTATTCAACCAAGCATATCACCATGGGGTGCACCGATTTTATTTGTGAAGAAGAAAGATGGGTCGCTTATGATGTGTATTGATTACCGACAATTGAACAAGGTCACTATAAAGAACAAGTACCCACTCCCTAGGATTGATGATTTATTTGACCAACTCCAAGGGGCGAGTTACTTTTCGAAGATTGACTTAAGGTCGGGTTATCACCAACTTAGGGTGAGAGGTGTTGATGTTCCTAAAATGGCATTCCAAACAAGATACGATCATTTTGAGTTCCTAGTAATGTCTTTTGGTCTCAGTAACTCCCCGGCAGCATTCATGGATCTTATGAATATGGTGTTCAGACAATATCTTGACTCATTCGTGATTGTTTTCATTAATGACATTTTGATATATTCTAAGAGTGAGAATGATCACATGGAACATTTGAGGATGGTGTTGCAAGTTCTCAAGGACCAACGGTTGTATGCTAAGTTTAGCAAATGTGAATCTTGGTTGAGATTGATTGCGTTTCTCAGTCATATAGTGTCAAGTGAGGGAATTGAAGTAGATCCAAAGAAAACGGAGGCGGTTAAGAAATGGCCTAGACCTTTAAGCCCTTCCGACATTATACATTTTTTGGGATTGGCCGGTTACTATAGGAGGTTTGTTGAGGGTTTCTCCTCAATTGCTTCTCCTTTAATGGCCTTGACCCAAAATAAGGCTAAATTTGAATGGTCGGAGTCATGTGAAAAGAATTTTCACCTGTTGAAAGATAAGCTTATCTCCACTCCGGTACTGACCTTACCGGAGGGTACCGAAGGGTTTGTAGTATATTGTGATACTTCAAGAATATGGTTGGGGTGTGTCCTTATGTAACATGGTAAAGTAATCGTCTATGCTTCTAGACAATTAAAGATTCATGAAAAGAACTATCCAACCCATGATCTCGAGCTTGCAGCGATAGTTTTTGCTCTAAAGATATGGAGACACTATCTCTATGGGGTTCATGACGATGTGTTTACCGACCACAAGAGTCTTCAATATGTTTTTAGCCAAAAAGAGTTGAATCTCCAGCAAAGGAGGTGGTTGGAACTTTTGAAGGACTATGATATGAGTGCCCTATATCACCCCAAAAAGGCTAATTTAGTTGCATATGCGTTGAGTAGAGTGTCCATGGTTAGTGTTGCTCACATAGAGGATGAGAAGAAGGAGTTAGTTCGGGAGGTACATAGGTTGGCCCGGTTAGGTGTCCAACTAAGGGATTCCTCCAAGGGTGGGTTTATGGTTCATCATTGTTCTGAGTCATCACTTGTGGTTGAGGTTAAGTCCAAGCAACACCTAGATACCACTTTGATGGAGTTAACAGAGTCGGTTCTTGATAAGTCCGTTGAGGCTTTCTCCCAAGGGAGAGATGGGGTACTTAGGTATCAAGGAAGATTGTGTGTGCCGGATGTAGATGACTTAATGGGGAGAATTTTGGAAGAGGCTCATGGTTTCCGATATTCCATTCAACCGGGAGCCACCAAAATGTATCGTGACCTACGAGATCTATTGGTGGAATGGAATGAAAGGGGATAAAGCGAGCTTTGTGGACAAATGCCCAAATTGCCAACAAGTCAAAGCCGAGCATCAAAGACCAGGAGGTGTATCTCAAGATATAAGTATTCCCACTTGGAAGTGGGAGGATGTCAATATGGACTTTGTGGTAGGTTTGCCTCGTACTCGAAGGCAACATGATTCTATTTGGGTCATTGTTAATAGGATGACTAAATCAGCCCATTTCCTTCTCGTCAAGGTTTCGTATTCGGCGAAAGACTATGCTAAGTTGTACCTTAAGGAAGTGGTGAGGCTACATGGAGTTCCTTTGTCTATCATTTCGGATAGAGGTACCCAATCTACTTCGCACGATTGGAAAGCATTCCAAAATGGGCTTGGTACTAAAGTGAAGCTTAGTACCGCATTTCACCCTCAAATGGATGGTCAAGCGGAAAGGACCATTCAAACCTTGGAGGACATGTTGAGAGCATGTGTGATTGATTTCAAAGGTAATTGGGATGATCACCTCCCCTTGATTGAATTTGCCTACAACAATAGTTACCATTCAAGTATTGCCATGGCTCCGTTTCAAGCACTTTATGGTAGGAGGTGTAGATTTCTGGTTGGTTGGTTTGAAGTAGGTGAATTTGCTCTTCTTGGTCTCGAGGTGGTTTATGAGGCTATTGAAAAGGTTTGACTTATAAGAGATAGGTTGAAAATGGCTCAAAGTCGGCAAAAGTCTTATGCCAACAATAGAAAGAGGGATCTTGAATTTGAGGTTGGTGATTGGGTCTACCTAAATATCTCACCCATGAAAGGGGTAATGAGGTTTGGTAAAAAGGGGAAGTTTATTCCCCGGTATGTGGGCCCTTATGAGATTTTGAAGAGAGTTGGGAATGTTGCTTATGAATTGAATTTGCCTAATGAGTTGGATCCGGTTCACCCGGTATTTCATGTCTCTATGCTCACAAAGTGTATAGGTGATCCGGTATCCATACTTCCCCTAGAAGGTTTGGGCGTTGATGAGAACTTTTCTTATGAAGAAGTTCCAATTGAGATTCTAGACCAGCAAGTGAAGAAGTTAAGGAATAAAGAAGTAGTCTCCGTTAAGGCTCTATGGCAGAATATTCTAGTTAATGGTACTACATGGGAGGCCAAGGCCGATATGAAGTCCCGTTATCCTTATCTCTTTCTTGCTACTCCTATTCAAACTTGAGGTAAGTAGTTTCTCTTGAGTTTGTAATGAATTATGAGTTATGTTTATTGTGTGATCTTTTGCCATGTTTTCTTCCTATATGGTGTGGGTCCATGTGAGGAAGTATGAAGTGCATAATTGAGTCTCTCATGAATTATATGTCCCTCTTGTTGAATTGCTTTAGTATGATGATTTCATAATTTGACTTATGAGGTAAAATTGTTGAGCATGCTTCATTGTGTGTAATGAAAAGATATGTTGAATCTCATGTTGTATCGCATTTGGTTATGATACTGACATATGTGACCTCATGAGATAAGTTGATGAACATGTTTGGTTATGTTGTGATGAAGTAGCATGATGGCTTAATATTGTTGTGTTGAGCTTGCTTGTGTTGGAGAAGATAATTCCTCCCATGCTTATATGAAATGGTAATTTTGGTGCATAAAGAAATTTTTTGAGGTTATAGTTTCTTTGCTTGTGTTGCATTGAGGTTATGATGTGGAGAAGATGTTTCCTCCTATGAAATGTGTATGTGATTGATATGTGTTGTTGTTGGGCTGCTAGTCTTAAGTCTTAGTTCCCCTAGGAGTGATTAAAGTGTCATTCGAGAACTAATGTTCCTAAGGGGGGATATTGTAACAAGCGGAAAATTTGTAGGTTGAACTAGAGCCTAAACGTGATGTCAATGAGGTATAAAATGAATTCTCCTAAGTTAGTAGATCATCTAGGTGTCCTATGGTGGTCTATGAGTTAAGGCCTAAGGGAGGAGTGCCAAATAAAAGGGGCAATCCAAGGCCAAAGGCCAAGGCTGCCCCAAACTTTGAGCTACTGCCTCAAGCTCCACAGACATCACCACGGCTCGTGGTCATGACCACGGGCAAGTGGGAGGCTTCGTGGAGTTTTCTTGGCCAAGGGAGAGGGACCTCCAAGTGGACACTGCCTCACCCTTCACGAGAGAGACCACGAGTCGTGGTCCACTTAACGACTCATGAAGGTGGGCGTGGAGTTCCCTTGGCTTTTAGGGAGTTGGGGGGGGGGGTTGTTAGGGTAGCTACTGCCCAAGGCACCACGGGCAGCACTATGGGCCGTGGTGCACTTGACGAGGGAGAGGGGTGGCTCGTGAAGGTTACTTGGCACCAAGGCTTGAAGGGCTTGCCAAGGCCTTGCCTCCACAAGGACAAGTCGTGACCAAGGCCATCACCACGAATCGTGGGTGGCTCCGTGCTCTTTTATTGGCCAAGCGCTGGCTTGTGCACGAAAGGGGAGCTACTGCCTCGAACACCACGGGCAACACCACGGCCCGTGGTGCACTTTCACGACCCAAATATGGTGGCCGTGGTCCCTGATGGCGACCATTTAAATGAGGACTTTTGGGACTTTCCTTTTAAGTCCAACATAAGTAGGGTGTTTTGGGTATTTTAGAGGTTATTTATATATTGGTTTTTAAGTTTTAATTCATGACTTTTTGGTCATAATAAACAAACACCCAATTGAAATCAAAACTCTCCCACTTCTCTCTAAACTCTCTCTCTAAAAACTTTAGAAGAAGAAGAATGCTTTGGATCTAGGGTTTCAAGGTTCTTTCCCAAATTTCTTAGAGTTTCTCCATTGATTCTCAAGGAATCAACGAAGGTATGGTTGCTCTTCACTCTTGGGATCTTTTCCACAAGAGGCCCTCTCAAAATTGGATTTCAAAGTTCCCCAAATTCTAGGTTTTCTCTCAATTTCGTGGGTCACTTTACAAATGTGTTTTCATTGAATTATACTGATTAATTATGGTGGTATATTATGTTTTGTAGATGAATTAATGTCATGTTGATGGTTATTGAACAAATCCCCACAAGACCCATGATTTTCCTTTCTTTCTCACTTTAAACCCTAATATGCTTTTAATGGTGAATGAAGGATAAGAATCTAATATGTAAATGTGGAATTCATTATTGTATTATGATGTTGCTCTATATGATGAATGATTACCAATGTCTTAGGGTTGAATCTTGATGTGATCCTAGAAGACTATGAATGAAGGTTGTCAAATTGATGAATGTTCATATATTGAATTGTTGATCCACTTATGGTGGAGGTGCTACTTGACTATGAATTGTAGTGATTGAGTTATGTTTCCTCTTTCCTACAAACCCAAGTGTTGACAAGTAGGCTATGATACAAACATGAATGTTAAGCTATGATTATGGTAGTGTTGGTATGATGAATAGAAGGTGAATCTCATGAACACTATATGACTATGTTATGAATGAACATTATTATATGTTGATGTTTCTATGATGAAAGGTTATTCTCATCTTAGAACTTGTGAGCTATATGATGAATGATGGGTTGAATCCCTAATGCGCTTCTTATTGAATTAATGTGTAAGTAAAGGCCTAATACTACTTTAAAAGGGAATTGTGCTTAGCACCGAGTGAACATGAATATGAGATGGAAGCTTTTACATTTAGTAAATTCGGCTTCCCATATGGGTTCCTTTTACGTTTAGCAAGTCCGGGTTTCCAAGATATGTGTCTCATGATATGGAAACCTTCTACGTTTAGCAAGTCTGGGTTTCTAGTAGCAATCTCCTTGTTCCATAACTATGTTTTCCCACATAGGTATTAGCTAGTGGATCCACCTAGATGCTATTATGTTAGTTCTACTTTGGCAAGTAGAACACTCTTTTTTCGGTGTGGGAGTAGAACACCGGATTCCATGAAGCTCACATGGTCTATGTCGGTTATTGCTAATATCCCTATGTTTTGAGAAGATGATCTAATGTATGAATATGACTTATGTAATTGACTTATGAACTCTAACTAGGACTACTTGAGGGATACTACTTAGTATAGGTGAGGGTATGGGACTTTACCTATGCATTGCACAAGTGGGTTCTTTGAGGAGTTCTTGTGTGAGTCCTCTATGGATGGCAACTTATAAATGATGGTAAGGTTGGTTTCACCTATTATGATGTTGATTATGTATGTGATTACACTTGTGTCTTCTTGATGGCTTTACTTAGTATATATGGGGGTATGGGACTTCATATGTACATTGCATAAGTAAGCTTGAAAGGAGGGTCATGGGTGGTGTCTTATGATGGTATGATATAAATGGAATTCAAACATGTAAGGTATGGGTTATGGCTTCTTGTTATGATCATAAATGTCTCTTTATCTTGTAATGTGGATTGGGTAAATGTTCCTTGAATATGCATTATGGCTTTTAACTTGAAATAGTATGTTTTTAAGTGGTTTTAATTGCATGGCTTCCATACTTGGTGCAATTGATTGTGCTAACCCATATTTCTTCCTTTTTCTACTAAGTGTAGGTTCCGGGAAGTGATTGTGATACTAAGAGACTCAAGCTTGGACTTAGACTTTCTCCAAGACTTTTTGGTATGTCCTCATTTTCCGAGGACACACATTATGACACTTATGTCACTTATATTGAAATAGACTATTAGAATCCTCATGTACTTGTCATTTTGAGACAATTTTATTGTAAAGAGCTATGGTCCCTATTTGAGATTCTTATGTGTACTTAGATGTTTTCATTGAGTTGATGATGTCTAGACATTCAACATTCTACATTTTACATTCTATTATGAGACACTTTGACATTGATGTTTGAAAAGTTTTAAAATTTCCGCATTATTCAATGTCTATATGCAATGACGAATATGCTAAGGGCATGTATAAGACCCCTTCGGGGTCAAGTACACCGTGTTACGCCTAGGGGGGGTGCTCTCGGGGTGTGACATAATCATATAAGAATAATTGAATCTTAGTCATCTATACCATAATACCATCATTCTCAAGTAACTTGAAAAGTATACATGTGCAAAGCATGG